ACTCTCCTCCAGGACCCACTAGGTCATTTTGATTGACTTCTGCCCTGCCACTCAGCCAGTCTGGTATGAAGGCTACCAATGTCCCAGGAAGCTAGGTTGGAAGCCAGTCTCAGGCCCCAAGGATCCCTATGCATCTAGTAAACCTAGTTTTATGTTTAAATTCTGTGGCTGTCTTCTATGAAAATGTGTATCACTAAAAAGCAAACAAGTTTGTAAGAACACATGAGCATTAGTGTTTCCCTAAGAGGTACCTGGAAATTATAATCAATCAACTCTTAAATAAATCATTCCTTAGGTGTAAACCATTAGTCATTTTAAGTATCAAGAGAAATCTGCAGACGTGTTGTAGATCTGTGGTAGCTAGTCTCCAAAATGGACCCCCAATTATACTAGCCTCCTAGTATGTATGGGTTGGTGTAGTCCCTTCTCACAATAAATAGGGCTGACCTTTGTAATCAATAGGATATTGTTGAGATGTGTGTGACTTGTGTGGCTAGGCCATAAAAACCACTGAAGCTTCTACCTTGCTCTCTCTGGGGAAGGCCAGCCACCATGCTGTGAGAATGCTCAAGCAGCTTGGGGGAGAGGCCCACTTAGGGAGGAACTGAGGCTTCCGTCAACAATGAGCACCACTGAGTTAAGTCATCTTGGAGATGGATCCTTCAGCCCTAGCTAAGCCTCTGGATGACTGCAACCTTATGATAGACCCCTGGCCAGAAGCACTGAGACAAGCAACTGTTGAATTTCTGACTCATAGAAACTGAGCTAATAAATGTTTTTAGTGTTTTAGGCATTAGGTTTTGGGATCATTTATTATGCATCAATAGATAAATAATAGAAGTACTATGCTTTCATTCATTGACTTGGGGACAAACATATTAAATAACATTTTATATTAACAAAGAACAAAATATAATCTTGTATTAATAAACAATAAAATATTCACATTCATAGCTCTAGTTTTGGACTCCATTTTAGACATAAAACTATTAAACAGGGCTTTTTATGAGGGATTCCTTAGTTATGTAAATTAGCATGCATTGCTGGCAGATTACCATAAATTATGCTTTTTTAGGATGTAAGGGTGACTATGCGACTGACAGACTCTATTACACTTTTCAGTTATTGAAAAACAATACCTATAGGAGATACTTTCTGATTGGGCTTGAAGTTTATGAACAAGTATTAAATGAACAGGCATTGAAGTCTTTTTTGGTGGTTTTCAAAAGGTCAAATTTTAATTATTCAAATGTCCTTCCAAATGTAAAAAATTTAAAAAACCATTATGCATGAAAGTGTGCCATTAGATAACCATAAAAATACCCTTCCCTGAGGGGAAAATGCTGCTTTACCAGGTACATATTTACAAAGTTAAACTATACTGAATAAAACATGGATATACTGATCACTTTTCATGATTTTATGTAGTCTTTTACAGTAAGATGTCAGTTAAATGTTTCCTCCTACACTTTCATATATTAAGGATTACTGATTCTTTAAAAAATTCCCTTGGGATACATTTTTAGAAATAAAATACATAAGCACTCCAAAAAAGGTTCATGGCCCAAATTCATGCTGTGTTCTGAAAAACCCCTAGCAGAGAATTTAATTTAAAGTGGTCTCAAGTTGGTAGTGCCAGGTGACTACAAAAACAAAAGGCTCTTTTCCAAACATGTTACTGTTTCAATCTTTAAAATCTTAACTTTAATCTTGCCTCTATTTCCCCTAGGAGTTAACCACTCCATTTATTTGCCCCTTATATACTAGAAGTACTGGAGTGATCTCTGCTTAATCTTGTCATTGTCAATTCCTTTCCTCCCTGTCTCTTTTAAACCCATTCAAATCCACTCCAAGCAAACTTCTGCCCCTATCACTCTATGAATGGCAACTTAATCCTTCCAGTTGCTCAGGCCAGAAATCTTGGAATCATCTTTGACTCCTCTTTTCCTCATACCTCATATTCTATCCTTCAGAAAAATCCCATTGGCTTACTTCCAAATCATATCCTGAATCTGTCCACTCTTCACATGTTCCGCTGCTACCATCTTGGTCTGTGCCACCAGCATCTTGCTTGCTTAGTTTACAGCAACAACCTCCTCACTCACTGGTCTTCCCACTTCCACTAAAGTCTAGTCTCAACAATGTAGCTTCAGTGATTTTTTTGAATTATAAATTCATCCTATCACTCAAATGACTTTCCATTTCCCTTAGAGTCAAAGTCCTTGTAAGGCTTTACATTACTGAAACTCCCTTGCCTCATTCCCTATTACCTATCCCTTTGCTCACTTGGCTCCAACCTCACTGGCCTCGTTGTTGTTCTTCTACACCAAGCTCCTGCCCTAACACCTTTGCACTGGCTGTTCCCTCCACATGGAATGCTTTTCCTCAGGGTATCTACATCTCTTGCAAATCTTTACTCAAGGAAGCTTACCCTGACCACCTTATTTAAAATGGTAACAGATCTCCCCTCCACTCTCATCTTCTAGTTCCCCTAGTTTTTCTACAGCAATTACCACCTTTTCATATAGATGTTTGTTGTGTTTCCCTCCTAGCTCATGCCCTAATTGAGTGCAGTGAAGAGTCACAATGTCTGCCCCTTACTTTCAAATGGCTCGGGAAAATTTAAAAATGATTGAAATCCA